TATATATGCATGTATGTACATATTATGTGTATAAGTATGTCCCATCTCATGGTGTAGTCACCAAGTAAATATTAGCAGAATGAAATGACTAGAAAGTAAATGGTAGATTTATATATAAGAGCATTTTTTAAAACCAGTTTTTACCTTCAAATTATTTAAGGTTCAGTATTTTTTATTTTATGTTCTGTTTTTTATCTACTGCTTAAAATTTCTTCCTTATTTTCATTTGGTTAACTTGTTTGTTTTACAGAAACTTCTAGTCCCTGACATTTGCAACCTTTGTTTATTTTTCATAGGAGCAGGCCTCTTTATGTTTTATTCTTTGGAACATTGGTAATAAATTCCTATGATTTATTACAAAAATATCCCTTCACTCAAACTTCTATTTAGCTACCCGATTTTCTTTTTTAAAAAGTGTGCAGCATTGGGGCAAATTGTAGTCAATGTCATGAGACAAAGTGTATGTGGACTGTTGTATGAAAAGTGAATTTGCTCTGTAAATTTTCACCCAAATCACAATAAAAAAAAGGATGCAGTTTTGTAAATTTTATTTATGATTTATTTAAATTTTAAAATATTAACATGCAGTGTAAAAAGTATTTATATCTTTAATGTATGTGCTATGTTCTTTGTAAGTGTACAGTGTTGTGCCTTTCTCCTTTATTAATCATTAATACCACTGAACATCCCAGCTATTGCATAATCAAAAGTAGTAGTAGAAGTTATTTTATATATTGATTGGTTTTAATTGAAAGTTTCCCTGAAATCAGTTGACTTTGTTGCATTTCCCTGACTGCCATGACATTTCTTGGAAATGTATTTTTTACAGATGATAGTGTAAAAAATATTGATTTAAAATAATGCAGATTGGAATTTATCTATTTTATTTACTACTGTTGTTTCATACAATTTATACACTATTGGCGATGCTTAAGCAAAGAAAACTGTTGTGTTTATGTGTTAGTGAATTGTCATCAATCATAGTGGTTTATTTCATCCTACTCTTGTTGTTGTTGTTGTTGTTGTTATGTGCCGTCGAGTCAGCCCTGACTCATAGCGACTCCTCCTTGGGTTTCCGAGGCAGTATCACTACTCTTATACTTCTTAAATTTTCCCTTCTCTAAGAACAGCCAAGTGAGTGACTTGTACTCCCAGAGTTCTGTAGGTGTACAACCTGAGATAGTTGGTTTTTTACATTTAAGTTTATCAGTTAGGGTTGTTTGTTTGTTTATTGTATCAGTTTTATTGAGATATAATTCACATGCCATATAGTTTACCCATAGAGTGTACAATTCAGTGTAGCCTTTAGTATGTTAACAGACTTGTGCACCCATCACCACAGTCAATTTTAGAACATTTGCATCACTTCAGAAGGAAACTCTGCACCTCTTAGCACTCAGCCCTCAATTCTCTATTCCCTCTAGCCTGGGTTCTGGAGATTTCATATTAATGGAATCATGCAGTGTGTAGTGTTTTGTGACTGGCTTCTTTCACTTAGCATATTTTCAAGGCTCATCTGTGTCATAGCATGTATCATTAATATCACTTAGTTTTTAGATAAAAATAATTAATTTTCTTTAACCATGAATAACACTTGAAATGCCGTTTCTCCTTTTGTTTTTATGACCTTCCCATCTATCTCAAACATATCATTTGCACATGGTTGTTAGGGTCCACCAATTTTGACTCCTATACTCCTGGAGTATACTTATCCCAGTTTTAGATGCACAGATACATTCTGAGAATCAGTGAAAGCCTTTTAAAAAACCTCTACATGTCTTTGAGAAAGATCTCAGGGAGAAGTACTCTATTAAAGTAAGCAAGATCTCAATGACTGCCTGTCTTTGGTGCCAACATTTAAGAGGGGAGGGAAGAGATAAGTAGAAGCCCTAATGGAGACAAAGATTGGCTTGACTGTGTGTTTCTAGGCCAGTTACAGGTTTATCTTTCTTCAGGAACTCCCCAAACAGTTCCCTTAGCTGACATCAGAAAGGATTGATTCTGTTATGTAAAAGGGACCCAGATTACAGTTGTTTAAGTGAATCCTTATTAGTTGCTAATTAACATGCAACATAAAGATTATGTGTGGTATTATATATGAACCACTTTATTTAAAGAATTTTATGACATGTTAATAACAAATCTATGTTCACATAAACGTATGCTTCCTGGTTCTGCTCTTGGACAATCTACTGGAGGACAAGGAGCTTGTCGCATTTATCTTTGTATTCTTGTTTCCTTGGACAGGCAAATCACTGACCCTGAATAAATATGTAATTAGCTGAATTTCAGGTTGCTGCTAAATACATTATAGTTTATATAAACCATGCTTGAACGTGTTTTCCAAAATTATAGCCTGGCAAGTGGTAAGATATTATTCATTGGTTGTTATTAGATGCTGTCGAGTAGGCTCTGACTTACAGCGACTCAACAGAATGAAACACCGCCCAGTCATGTGCCTTCCTCACAATCCTTGCTATACTTGAGCCCTTTGTTGCGGCCACTGTGTCAATCCATCTTGTTCAAGGTCTACCCCTTTTTCACTGACCTTCTACTTTACCAAGTATGATACCCTTCTCCGGAGAATGGTCCCTTCTGACAACATGACCAAAGTAGGTGAGATGAAGTCTGGCCATTCTCACTTACAAGGAGTATTCTAGCTGCAGTTCTTCCAGGACAGATTTGTTCGTTCTTCTGGCAGTCCATGGTATTTTCAGTATTCTTCATCAACACCCTAATTCAGAGGCATCAACTCTTCTTCTGTCTTCATTATTCATTGTCCAGCTTTCACATGCATATGAGGTGATTGAAAATACTATGACTTGGGTTAGGTATACCTTAATTTTCAAAGTGACATCTGTGCTTCTTAACACTTGAAAGAGATCTTTTGCAGCGGATTTGCTCAGTGCAATAGGACATTTGTTGGTTAAACATATGGATAATAGTTGATTAAAACAGAGGTTACAAATATATGGGCTTCTTAGGGAATAACAGAGAGTTTTGAGCTGTGTTCCTGTTATATCTCCATAGTTCTTTGTTAAGAGTTTGAAGGATGTGGTCTTAAGAAGATAATCTCACTCCTAAGCCTTTAAATTTAACAATAAAGATTGGACTTTCTTTCAATAAGCAGAAATTAAACTTAAAGTCATTTTTTTAGAAAATCTGTTACAGAACAGCTTTTTGTAATTCATATATATTTTTTTTTATTTCTAGGGTTAATTTTCCTCAAGTATTAAGTGTTTTTGACAGTCTTCATAGCATATATGTTGATGGTTTTTAACAATTGAGGATTTTAATATAAATTGTTACTCTTTAAAATCAATAGGGAGTATTGTATATTCACTAATATATAATTTAAAAATATGCAGTTCTGATAAATGTTTGCTTCTAACTGTGGATATTAAAATGCTCTTGATTTGAGTTGTCAATATTGGTATAACAATAATAAAAATAATACAGTATAGAAACAACAGATTTTTAGTTATAATGTTCTCATTTAATCCTCAGAGTCTCTGAGATATTTTTTTTTCTTCTTTAAACAAGGTAGGAAACTGAGGCTAAGAGAAATGTCTTCAAATTATACAGAAAAGTAGCTACAGAGACAAATCTTAAACCTAGGTTTTATGATTTCAAGTGGGAAAATCTTTCTCCATAGCATGCAGCATCTGTCGTTTATTTACTTTTTATGGTTTGGATATTAGAAGTAGTAGAAAAGTTTCTGTCCTCAGTTTTTCTGTTGACTTCAACATAAAAAAAACTAAAACTAAATCTGTTGCTGTTGAGGTGATTCCAACTCATAGGGGACCCTATAGGACAGAGTAGAACCTCCCCATAGGGTTTCCAAGGCTGTAAATCTTTATGGAAGCAGACGGCCACATCTTTCTCCAGAGAACAGATGGTGGGTTTGAACCACTTACCTTTTGGTTAGCAGTCTAGTGCTTAACCACTGTGCCACCAGGGTTCCTTAAAACCAAACTTTTTGCCATCAGACCAGTTCCAACTTGTAGTATATCAACATGTTGTTAATTGCCTTGAGTCGGTTCTGACTCATCGTGACCTTATGATGGAATGAAACACTGCCTGGTCCTGCACCATCCTCACAGTTGTTTCTATGCTTGAGCCCATCATTGCAGTCACGGTGTCAATCCGTCTAATTGAGAGTCTTCCCTTTTTCCATTGACCCTCTACTTTATCAAGCATGATACCCTTCAGGCACTGGTCCCTTCTGACAATATGACCTCAGTATGTGAAACGATGTCTGGCCATTCTCTCTTCTAAGGAACATTCTGGCTGCTTTTCTTCCAAGACATATTTGTTTGTTCTTCTGGGAATCCATGGTACATTCAAAACTCTTCGCCAGTACCACAATTCAGATGCATCACTTCTTCAGTCTTCTTTGTTCATTGTCCAGCTTTCACGCATATATGGCTATTAAAAATACCGTGGTTTGAGTCAGGTGCACCTTAGTCTTCAGAGTGACATCTTTGCTCTTTAACACTTTAAAGAAGTCTTTTGCAGCAGATTTGCCTGGTGAAATACTGTCCTCTGGTTTTTTGACTGCTGCTTCCATGGGTGTTGATTGTGAATCCAAGTAAAGTGAAGTCCTTCATAATTTCAGCCTTTTCTCCATTTATCCTGATTTTGCTTATTAAGCGTAGATAATTGAAAATAATGAGAACTTAAAAATCTGTTTACTGTATTAAACCAAAAAAAACCAAACTCACTGCTGTCGAGTCAGTTCTGACTCCTGCTTAGCAGTCAGATGTCTTAGGCACTATGCCACCAGAGCTCCTGCTTACTGTTTTAGTAAGTACTAAATGGCATATAGTGGTTTAATACAAAAATGTGGTAAAATGGAACAGTACAGAAATGCAGACCATAAATTATTTGAAAACCTAATACTTTCAAAAAATATTTTGGTCAATTTTGAGTTCAGTATTAAAAAGTTAAATAATAATATAAAAACATGAATGTGGGTACAATTTTTTTTTCTTTCCCAGACAGATATTGAATATGTACATGGTGTTGTAGCCAACCTGGAGAAAGAGTAAGTTCCTCTTAATAATGGAAATGAAAATATTTTGATTAATATTATTTCTTGACTTTTTGCTAACAGAAAATGCCTTGCTTTCTATTCATTTTTCTGTGGACTTCACTGTTCATTGGACCACCTGTTATTTAGTCTTTTCCATTGTCATAAAGTTGGTACATGTATAGCCAATTATCTAATGGGATAAATTGGTATATCTTAATATAAGCTAGAAAAGACTTGAACTGTCATATGTATGTAACATACCAAATAACATTCTTTAATCCTGAAGACAGCGAATAAATAAAAAGTCAAATGACATTACTTAAATCAGCCTTTTCTTTCTTTACTTACTGAGCAAAAATTTTTATGCTTCCTGAGCAGATAGTCATGTAACAGTTTCAGACTTCAATGTTAAACTCTATCTAAATCTGTTTTTTCATTATGCAAAGCTTGAGTACCAATTCACTGTGAGCAAGGAACACAGTAGTAACAGAGGAAAGTTCAGTAAGTTTCAGGTATCAAAATTTATTATAATATTGCCTTAGTAGTTATAATAATGATATCCTGAAAATTGGTCTTTGACACGGTTTTCCTGATTGAATTGTATCTTTTTTTGTCTCACATAACCATATCTGACTTAAAAAGGAAAAGCAAGAGAAACAATCATTATTTGCTAACTATAGACTTAATGTTAAAACCTGTGGGTTTTTTTTTTTTTTTTTAATGTTCATAGTTTAAGATTAGTTTGTTAGATGTTCCTCAAATGCTGAATTTCTTGGCAATATTTATTTATATAAGCAGAGTTTAGTATAGACTCCTTAAACAAAAACAAAGGTACATGCCAATAATTATTGGTCCCCCTTCTTGTAGACCATCTGGGCAGGTCTGTGGGACTTATTAGTGATTCTGTTGATGCACTTCTTTCATGGTGTCGGAAACCAAGCCCAGGGGGTGGCAATAGGGGGAAACTATAATCACGCACTAAGATCATTTGTGCAAATATACGTAGTTAGCACAAGTGTTTTGTAAAGATTCATAGAAATAGACCAATGGAGGAAGTAAACATGAAGGAAATTACATTTGAGTCTGTAAAGACTAATTTAAAAACAGAGTTTCCCAACCTCAGCACTGTTGACATGTTGGGCTGGATAATTCTTTGTCATGAGGTGCTGTCCCGTGCATTGTAGAACGTGTACCAGAATCTCTGGCCTCTGCCTACTAGATGCCTGTCAGTAGCACAGAGCGCTGTTGTGACCGAAATATCTCCAGACATTGCTAAATGTCCCATGAGGGACAAAATTGCCCCTATTTGGGAAACACTGGTTTCAAATGACATATAGTCTATAACCCACACCTAAAACTTCCTGAAAACTGAAAAACTTTTGTTTTTGCCTGGATACATGTATTAGTTATACACACAGACATACATTGATTTGTTTCTCTGCAATCCTTTGTTTTCTGTGAGACCTTGAATTGTTTATTTTAAATACTGATACTCTCTAGGAATGTAATGCCTGCAGTTGGCCCAGGATTTCTATGCTGTTCAAAAAGCATAGTGACATTTCTCTCTCTTTTTTTTTTAATTTGTGATTGAGTGAAAGTTTAAAGAGCAAATTCATTTTCCATACAACAGTTCAAACACATTTTGTTTCGTGACATTGATTACAATTCCCACAATGTACCAACTCTCTTCCCACTTCCTCCCTGTGGTTACCTTTTCCCTGTGTCCTTCTTTCCTAAGGCATAGTGGCATTTTAGAGTGTTTTTTAAAGCATTATTTAAAAGAAAGAAAAAAAACTTTTGCTATCAGAATAATCTGTATTTTCTGGTAAATAAATGATGAACTAGTTCATTTAACACATTAAATATCGTATCTTGCTTCAAATGATTACTGATATGTTTGTGTTAAACATACTAAATTGAGCATTAAGACAATAAAATCCCAAAGAACTTAAATTAGCTAACCTTTCTCATGATAGATTTTCTAAAGAAATCAGTTCTGGCCTGGTGGAAGTAATATCACCTCCTGAAAGCTATTATCCTGACTTGACAAACTTAAAGGAGACATTTGGAGACTCAAAAGAAAGAGTAAGGTGAGCCACGTGTTGTTTAAAATCCTCTACCTTTGTGAGTATAATACTTAAAATACTTGATAATTATAGTTCTTATTTAATGAAGGTTTAAAAAAGTTTATGATTTTTTAAAAAGAAGTTTAGGATTGAATTTGATACAAAAGTTTAGGTAGTCTCTAGATTCAGAACAGTTTTTGAGGTATATTCTGAAGAAGTTAACGTTGTATCTTTTTTTTATTAATTTTCAATGAAGTTTTTTGATTTTTAAAAAATAAGCCTTTTATTGATTTGGGTGAAAGTTTATGGAGCAAATCAATTTTCCATTCAACTATTCACACACATACTGTTTCATGTCATTGACAGTACTCCTCTCAATGTAACATCACTCCTCCCATGTCCTCCCTGTATTTTCCTTTGCTTTACCTTCTTCTTTCCTAACATATCTTGCCTTCAAAACTTCGGTCTGGGCAAATGCAGCCCTTTGGATCATAAATGGTTAATGTCTTAAGGAGTGTGTACCTCCCTAATGTTATTGTTCACCTTATAGACTTTTCTAGGAGTTCTCGTGGTGTAAAACCTAAGGCATTTGACTGCTAACCAAAAGGCTGGAGGTTCAAACCCACCAGCCACTCCTCAGAAGGAAGATTGGGCAATCTACTGTAGTGATACCACCTCAGAAACCCAAGGAGGGATCACTATGAGTTGGATCCAATTCCACAGCATTGAAGTTTTTTTTTTTTTTAAATAGACTTTTCTACTGTTTGGCTGAAAATTGAACCATGAGGGTGAGTTCAGGTACAGGTCCGAAGAGTGATCAAGGGCCATAGTCTAGGAGTTCCATTAGTCTCTGTCCAACCAGTAAGCCTGGTCTTTTTTATAATTTTGAGTTTCGTTCCACATTTTTCTCCCACTCTATCCAGGACCCTCTAATGTGATCCCTTTAAGAGCAAGTGGTAGTGGAAGCCGGGAACCATCTAGTCTTTCTGGTCTCAGGGTTGTAGAAGCTGAACATTACGTGGTCCATTGGTCCTTTGCACTAATTGCTTCCATTGGGTATTTGATTATCTCCACTCTTCTTTGTTCTAGATCATGAAAGACCCATAGTTGACCTTAGATGGCTTGATGCAAGTTTTTAAGAGCCCAATTGCTACTCAGCAAAGTAGGATGTAGAACATTTTCTCTGCGGATTACATTGTGCCAATTGACCTAGATGTCTCCCAAGACTGTGGTCCTGAGTCCCTAGGTCCAACAACTCACTCCTTCACAGGTTTTGATTATGACTAAGAAGTTTTCATAACTTTGCCCCCTGTATGTTCTAGTATATTCATGGATATATTTGCAGCATACGTACATATATATGTAGAAGTAGCCTCTATCAGACTTACAGATATTCATTGGTATAGTCCCATTCTCTTTCCCACACCTGTTCAGCTTGCATGTCTATATATCCACTTATAGATTACTGATTATTGTTATTACTGTTATAGCAGGATTATGTATGAATTAGTATTTACTTCTGTTACCTTTAACTCTTGTACTCTTCGCACTGTCTTCCTTTCCTTGATCACTTTGTGCTGACCTTTCCCTTAATGTATATTGCCTTCCCCTTTATCCAAATTAGTATGTGTCTATCCTCTAATTTTCTTGCCCTCCCTCCCCTCTCACCTCCGGTACCATCAAAGAATAATTCTATTTTTGTGAAAACTTTTTCTTGACTTTTTACAATAGTGGTCTCATACAATATTAGTCCTTTTATGATTGACTTTAAAAAATTTCTTTTTTTTTTTTAATTGTGATTTGGGTGAAGATTTACAGAGCAAATTCACTTTCCATACAGGAGTTCACATATACTTTGTCTCATGTCATTGACCAGAGTTTATCACAATGCAACAGCTCCCTTCCC